AGAATTATATAGAACAAATCGCACAAATGTGCAAATTACAACTTAGAGCCGCAGCCAAAAGTTGAATAAACTGGGAGGACTGGTCAGAAGACCGCCTAAATCCGACGCTAGCAACACTAGAATCCAAAAACAAAACACCAACTAAAACTACTGAAATAAATCCTAAGCTCCCAACAGGAGAATTATATAGTTTGTATGGTTAGAATATTGTAAGTATGGACACATTATTAAGTTATTACTATATATTTGACACTCACAAAAACCAATATATAGTTTGAGATCTACATTTCAACACGAGCTTCTCATCCATGGGTATATTAAGAAGAGTTGTGAAAGACCATCTCATTAACGCGCAAACTCGACTCTCGTTCGTTTACTTCTAACGAGTTGAGTTCGAAGAACTAATTGAACTTGTTTATTAATCAAGTTGAGTCAAGCTCGTTTGCAAAAATTGTTTCTTATTATTGTTATTGTTATTGTATATGTTTTGAACAAACAGTCAAATTGAGTATGTTTGCGAACACATAAATCGTGTTCGCAAACTAATTCACGATTTTAAATTTGTTAAATGAGTCGAGATTGAATGCCTGAGCACGAGCCAATCATAGAGTGCTCGGCTCGAATAACACACTTACTATTTAAGACTCATACCCATTGTTTATATCATAAAGATTGTCACATCTCAAAGTACCACATGACTCACCCTTTATTTCATATATGTATGTGTTTGTGTGTGTTATGTTAATGTATTTTCTCTACACATTATCTATCATACAAAATAAATTTAGGTTACAAGATTTTTTTTTTTTTTAATAAAAAAATATTCTATCCCAGTTAAAAATGAGATGAAAAGGTGAAAAAAGTCATTTTATTTCTAAAATGATAAACTTGAGATTGATAAGGATATAATATATAGTTGATGTTGTACAAAAATAATAAGATATTGAGAATTATAGTTAGAAATATGTAAGTAGATGATTGGTTTTTTTAATAATATATCACTGATTTTTTTTTTTTTTATTGTGTTAGCAGAATTTTAAAATAAAAAATGATTTGAAATGAATAGCATTTTGGTATTTTTTATTTATTTATTTTATTTTCACTTTTATCATAAAATCTTCATCATAGACTCATAGTGTATTCTCCACTAAGACCATCTCCAGTCTTTAACCAAAAATAAAATTTGGCCTCCAACTGTTCGCACTACATTCTACTCCATATTTATTATTCATATTATTTTAATTTATTTAACATGTCAAATTATTATTTAATTGGACATATTATTTTATAAAATAAAATATATTATGATGTTAGCTGATCTTCCACTGGTTTGAAATATTGTTCCAAAAAGAATTATTATTTTTGTATATTATTTGATTTATTTTAAAAGAATTAAATATAAAAAGGTATTTTTTAAAAATAATATCTTTATATAATTCTCGAATTAAATTATAAATTTAATGGTAAAAATTTTGTTAAATAAATTTTAAGATAATTTAATTGCATATATTAAAAATTAAATAAAAGTCGTAGAGTAATGAATAGTACCGCGCCAGATGTAGTGCGATACTGTTCAGAACTCTAGAGTAGCGCAGAGATGTAGCGCAACATTAGAGAGCAATTTGTCTCTACTCTAGAGAGTATTACTCCAGAGTATTACGTTAGAGTAGCGCAGCATTGAAGCTGCTCTAAACCTCTTCACGAAGAGCAAACACATGCTTTAGTCAGTTTAGAACATGATGAAACCTCTAGCTACCTTTGAAGAACATAATACAATTTTCCACCAAGAGTTCTGCATTTTCTCTCAAGTCTAAGTGGTGAATATAAGCAGAGAATAGAGGTAAACTAGCAAATGATATTGAACCAATTAGTAGAATTAAGGAAACTCAGAAGATCTTGAACCAAAAAAAAAATATGAATAATAATCAAATAAACACAAAATTTGCATCCCTTAGGCAGTAACAATATCGGTACATTTTCGGATTCTTCCCGGAACTGAATGGACCAAACCAAATGACTTCATGTAGATCAACAATTATGTAGACATTACTTGTAATCCAGAGCAATTTTAGTATTACAACAATCAAGACAAAAATAAAGAAAATATATAAGATAGATAGATAGATAGATAGAGAGATAGATAACTTCATTAGTTACACATTGGTGGCATGATTTAAAACTGCAAAAATATGACTAAGAATTTCACTCTTCCTTAGTTTCATTTTCCTTAGTCTCCTTTACCTTAGTTTCCTTGGCTTCTTTTTCCTTGACAACTTGTTTGTCCTTAGGTTTGCCTTTCTTAGGCTTCATAAAACAGAAACATGAGCAGCAAGGACATTGGAATAAGAACTTCATCTCTTAAGCTCTTTTGCCTTCAAAATCCTAAATGCTCTCTCTCTTATCAAACCCACAAATGTGAACTACAAAAAAGTAGCAAGATACAAGGAAGCTACCTTTTGCCACTACCTTTTATTTTTTTTTATTTTCTTGTGGGCTTATCTTTTTCTTTATAGATATATTACATTTTATCATTATTGGATTCTATTTTAGTCACACTCAAAGGGAAGAAAAAAGAGGGACATGTCTTAGTAGGGTGTGCCAATAGGATAAATGAACTTGGAGCCCACGACCAACCAAAATTCATAATAGATTATTTAACTAATTGTAAGGAAGGAAATATTGCTATTCATATATGTATTAGCAAGTGATGGAGACGAGATCGATTCGGATTATGGCGAATCATTCTCAACCGGGGGAGGATGATGGAGACGAGATCGCTCTCGCTTATTTGCACAAATACGATCGGCTCTGACTCTAGTTCTTTATTCATATTCATTTTATTATTACTTTCTTTATGCATATTATTCAATTGGTAAGAATATATTTATTATCTAGCTTATTTATTTCTTGTTGGGCAAAATAGGAAAGCAAGTAGTTTTATGACTCTATTAAGATCTATATAATTCTTCTCCTTCATGTAAACATGCGGCTTGGATTGAATAAAACGTAAGAAATTGTGAGATTTTTATCTTTTCTTCCCGTTCGTTAACATTACACTACATCGGCAAGTATTTTTAAACCATCAACTAATTATTTTTATCATATTAACACGTGTCATTCATCCAGCGAACAAACCAGATTGAATGAATAGTCCAGAAATGAAATATGATTTAACAAATTTAAAATATATCATATATTTTCTAGTGGGTCATATAAAAAAATACCCATCAAATTGTGTTTGTTCTGATTTATTTAATTGTCTCACTCAAAGAAAGTATTCTAGGCTGGCAAGCAATTGGGGTTGGACTTGAGCAAAGGGGATTTGAATACCCAAATGCCTACTTTGTAGCCCAAGAAGGAAAGCCTTTTCTCATGGAATTGATGGTTGGGCCCACAAGGAGGGGACAAAACCATGTTACTAATTGTTTGATAGATTGTGCATCGGATGTTACTGCTGTGTTTGAAGAATAATCTCAATCCCAATTTGGCACCATAGGGAAAGGTAAAATCATTAGCCATATTTTTTTAGTACAATTTGAAATAAGAATCCCATTGAAAGCTAGCTCCACCTATTAATCTCAAACTTAGTTATTGAGATTAGACATGGCCAAAACTCGATTCCGCACCGCATTATGGGAGGCTCTGAACTGGCACGATCATATGCATGAGTCGATATTACTGCGCATGGAAGTTGGGTTAAAAAATAGTTGTATTAAAAGTGTTTGAATATTGTTGGGATATCTTATATCCAAGCAAGCACAAAATGTACTAATTTTACATGTCGATGATTTATATATTATGCTTCGTGATTTTATTAGATTCAATGTGTTCGGTTTTCATCGGATAAGTGTTTCGGGAGATTTGTGATACTTCGTAATTGACGTAGCGAGAGCATACGAAAGGGAAAACAAGAAATAAAACTCTCAAGAAAATATTCGTATTTCATAAATTTGACCAATTGAAACGCAATAGAATAAGAGTCTTTAAATAAAATTTCTAAGAAGCTCTAATCTTGTCTAACAAGTAAAGTATAATCAAATATCTTTCCTACAAATAAAAGACTAGAATAATTAAATAATTTTACTAACAAATCTAGGACTAAAAATACTAATAATAAATAAAATGAAACAATAACTAAGTTAAAGATTTCATAGATCATGTTTGTCCTCATCTTCATCATTCTCTCCCTCTCGGAAAGGATTCACCCTCGAATCTGGCACAGTCTCATGAATTACCACTGTAGAAAGGCACCAAATGCTTGACATTGAAGACGTTTGAGGGGTGAATGTGAGACGACAAACAAGTTCTCCATAATCTCGACCAAACAACTTTGATTGGGCATAAAAATACTACAAACATAAATGGCTTTAGGTAGCACCATCAAATGTAACACTTTACAAATAGGTAATACTTTTGGTAGTTTTTGGTAACACTTATATGATACCTATTTATAAAGTGTTACATTTGATGCTGTTACCTAAAGTCATTTATGTTGTAGTACCTGAAGATTGGGCCGACTCGAGGAAATAAAGACAAGTGACTCAGCCTTCTGATCAAATGACTCAGCCAAGTAGGATCGACGAAGAACAAGCGTCGGCCCGACGTCTCCCGTCACGTGTTCCTCAACCACATGATCCACATCATAAAAAAGAGGAACTAATATTCGATTGATCCCTCATCATCGAAAATAGGCGGACCCTCATATTCGCTAGGCCCTTCATCATCAAAAGAGGTGGACCCTCATACTCGGTCGATACCTAGTTATCCAAGTACTCGGTTGCGTCCATGACCCCAGAAAGTTCAGAGATCGCGACTCGAAAAGAAGCCTATCATCGTCCATCGTGGAAATAGTCTTCGTCCCGTGCCGCCATATTACCAAAAGGATGGACCTCGGATATGGTGACGTCAAAAGTCACCGTCACCACAAACGATTGTTGCGATCAGGAGTGGGGCGCCCCACGTGGGCCCTGACTGCATCCACCGTTTATTCTCCCGCGGCTGCCACGTCATTATTCTGGCGCGTGGTTCGTTTGCTTGCCATGAAAAGCGGCAAGTAGAGCCAATTGAATGTCCTCGATCCCCACGACTATATCTGCAACCTTGCACCCGAAAGACTGTTCGAGCGCCTTGTGTTAGCGTCCCAACGTCTTACGTTACGACAACGTCTCTATGAGGGTGCCGCGCTTGTCGTTAGCATCGTTCCATCTCAGCGGCACCATGTAGGAATTATACTAGTTTGTTGATACCTGAAAGCGTACGAAAGAAAAAACAAGAGATAAAACACTAAAAAGTACTCTTATCTCATAAACTTTGACTAATTGAAACACAGTAGAATAGGATCTTGAAGTAGAACTCATAAAAAGCCCTCATCTTGTCTAACAAGTAAAGTATAATAAAATATCTTTCCCACAAAATAAAAGACTAGAATAATCAAATAACTTTACTAACAAATCTATGACTAAAATCTTAACAATAAATAAAAGAAGTAAATAACTAAATTAAATCATGTTTGTCCTCATCTTCATCAGTAATTCTATAGTACAAAAAGATTTGGACGTCTATTTTAGGCCATTTGAAATTATAAAACATTTGACAACTTAAATTATCACACACACATATATATATTAAAAGGTAATAACTTTCATTTTTGTTATAAAAGTAAGTGTCGCATAACGAGCTTTGATTTGATATTTATATTGCAAATATAAAAAAATATGTATATTTACAAGTATAATAAAAAAATTAAATTATATACCAATATATAATAAAATTATTTATCAATTGAATTAATTTATCTATTAAATGGTATATAATATAACTTAAACAAGTTACTATATAATAAGACGTAAAAAAAAATTATTGTAATACTATCAAGTGATAAGTGTCATTTTAAAAATATAGTTATTTTTAAAATTTATTTATGATTTTTCTTTTTATCAACACGGGTGTGTGATTCGAAGTAGCCCACGTACATCTGGACTCTATTTTAGACTATAAAACATTTAACTTTCTTAGATTAAAAATATTTTTAAAATTATTTTTCAAAGTTAAGAATATTTTATGCGTTGTAAGATTTTTGTATATAAATATATTAAATTAGTCATCTTTCACGGTCTTCAATTTGATTTTCATAAATTAGCAAATTCATTTTTATTTATTATAAAATTAAATCATCTACTAATACCAAATAAAAGTTAATTATATATCAATTTAAAATCATCTATAAATTCATCAAGTAAAAGTTATTATACATAAGACGACGAACAAATCGTGCAAGTGAAAATTATTATTTTAATTCAATGTAAATAATATTGCAATTTTTCAGATAGTATTCAAAATTTAAATAAGAAACACACATCTCTTACATTCTTTAAAGAATTTTCGTATAATTTTTTAACTAGCATCTGTGTTATCGAGGAAAGCTAAGGAGCCAATTGTTGGCTATTACGGAGCCAACAACCAATAGGACAGCTCCATGTGGGGATGTCCCACATGGAGCCATGTGGGACAGTCCCACATGGAGTTGTCTCATTAGTTGTTGGTTCCGTAACGGAGCCAACAATTGGCTTCTTAGCATTGTTGTTGTGTTATCATGGTGTTGTAGTAGTTATATATTATTTTGAAGTACTCAACTCGACCATCCAACGATACCTTCAACTTCGTCAAATGACACCTAGAACTTTGTCAAATTGTTGTTAAAGTTCTACGATTTGTTTTGATAAAAAATGCGCCTTAACAGAGTTATTACATGAGATAGTTGTTAGAATTTTTACTGAAAAACATATGTACATACTGATCTTTTCTTGAAAAATCCAAACAGTGTCTCCCAATCACTGGCATTGTACCGACGAATCTTCCAATTCTCCAGAATATATATTGCAATCTTTTCGGCGTAGTCTGAGAGTTCTAATCGACGAATATTGAGGGACACAATTAAGTTCTTCGGAAAAGAGATTTATATTCACATATTTTCCCATGCCTTCTATTGGCGAACATCGTCCACCGGGACATAAAAACGTGAAACACTTCACCGGACGGTACATTTAAGGCTCACCTGACGAATTTCGAGCTCTCCGCCTTAGCGGCTGTACTAAACTACTAATGTGGTGAGGGAAAATTCCAAAACTAGTCTCACAGGTATAAGGGATGATATTTTTTGTCCCAACGGAATCAATAAAATATTAATAGTCCCGCAGCTTTTAAAAAATAATCAAAAGTAGGACTTTTTTCAATTTTCCGGCCCGGAATGCCACGTCGCACACACGTGGCGGGACTATTTAATATTTTCTGAATTCCGTTGGGACAAAAATGTCACATCCCAAAACCTGTGGGGACTAGTTTTGATTTTTTTCTCTTGGCATTGTACTCAGCCACGTCAGATGAATGTGGTCACGTGTGTACGACGTGGCATTCCGTGCCGGAAAATTGAAAAAATGTCCTACTTTTGATTATTTTTTAAAAGCTGTGTGACTATTAATATTTTCTGGTTTCCATCGGGACAAAAAATGTCACCCTCCTATACATGTGGGATTTGGGAATAGTTTTGAATTTTGCCCAATGTGGTGAAATGGACATAATTTTGATGAGGATGATAATTTCCATCTTCCTCACATGATAGCTAGTTCAATCACAAGTGTGTGTGGATAAACTGTGGACAGAGATTGAGTTCCCACAAAAAAATAACACAATAAAAATCAAGAATTGATTCTTTTCTTTTTTGCATACACAAGCATACCATTTACAAAACAAGTG